TTGGAGAAGACTCTTGAGAGTCCCTTGGACTGCAAGGAGATCCAACCAGTCCATCCTAAAAGAGATCAGCCCTGGGTGTTCATTGGAAGGACTGATGCTGAAGCTGAAACTCCAATACTTTGGCCACCTGATGTGAAGAACTGACTCATTTGAAAAGATCCTGATGCTGAGAGTGATTGAAGGCAGGAGGAGAAGGGGACGACAGAGGATGAGATGGTTGGATGGCATCACCAACTCGATGTACATGAATTTGAGCAAGCTCTGGGCGTTGGTAATGGACAGGGAAGCCTGGTGTGCTGCAGTCCATGGGGTCGCAGACTCGGACAGAACTGAGCGACTGAACTGAAACATATAATACTAAATGCTGATGAAATGATTTTAAAGTGTGGCTATTATATTTTACTTTCTAAAGATGCTCTAAAATAATTTTCATCAGTGGTTCAAGATATTCCAGGATAAATATCATCTTACTAAAATAATCTTTGAAAAATTCCCATGCACACCTCGGCTCTTTTTAAAAAAAAAAAAATCCAACAAAGGAAAAATACATTCTTTCAGAAACACTGTTCTATACAGATGTAGTATTCACCTGGTGAAGAGAATGAGCTACAATATTAAAAATGATTCATTCTCAAAAATCTCACAGAAGGGTTAGGATTACAAGAGAAACACAGAATTCTCAATCAGATCATTACTCAAATTTCTAGACTCGAACAGATGTTTGTGTACCAATGTTCAAGGCAGCATTATTAACAATAGCCAGAAAGTGGAAAAACCCCGATTTCATTGGGGAATGAACAAACAAAATATTTTCTATATAAAATGTTGCTTTTGGACTGGATTGTCACAAACTTTTAAATTAAAATCTTACTACAAAAATCATTAACTTTATGAATTCAGTCCATTTCTTCTATAAAGAGTAACTACACTCATCTCACACACTAGTAAAGTAATGCTCAAAATTCTCCAAGCCAGGCTTCAGCAATATGTGAACCATGAACTCCCACATGTTCAAGCTGATTTTAGAAAAGGCGGAGGAACCAGAGATCAAATTGCCAACATCCGCTGGATCATCAGAAATGCAAGAGAGTTCCAGAAAACATCTTTTTCTGCCTTATTGACTATGCCAAAGCCTTTTATTGTGTGGATCACAATAAACTGGAAAATTCTGAAAGAGATGGAAATACCAGACCACCTGACCTGCTTCTTGAGAAACCTATATGTAGGCCAGGAAGCAACAGTTAGAACTGGACATGGAACAGACTGGTTCAAAATAGGAAAAGGAATACATCAAGGCTGTATATTGTCACCCTGCTTGTTTAACTTATATGCAGAGTATATCATNAAAATACAATAAACTCTTTATTTTTTTCCCAATTATTTTACAATATTGTAGTGGTTCTTGCCACACATTGACATGAATCAGCCATGGATTTACATGTGTTCCTCATCCTGAACCCCCCTCCCACCTCCCTCCCCATCCCATCCCTCTGGGTCATCCCAGTGCACCAGCCCCGACACTTGTCTCATGCATCCAACCTGGACTGGCCATCTGTTTCACACTTGATAATATACATGTTTCGATGCTGTTCTCTCACAATAAACTCTTTAATCAAAGAGGTTTTTCACACTGTCCAAAAATATTGTCGTATATTACTAGTAAAAAAATTAAAATTCTTCCTCAGTATGACAGAAATTAAGAGGTTGACTTACCAATCTTGTACTTGAAAGGGTTTTCTGAAGTTGTTCAACTTTGTCCACTTGCTTTTTGACTATAGTTTTTAACTTGGCATTTTCAATTTCAAGTCTAAAATGCAGATTTAAAATAATTATTCTCACACATAGGTTTGTTTCTGTTTTTAAGATTTTTTTTTGGATATGGACCATTTTTAAAGTCTTTATTGAATTTACTACAACACTGCTTCTGTTTTATGCTTTGGATTTTTGGCTGTGATGCACATGAGATCTTAGCTCCCTGACCATGGATCAAACCCATACCCTCTGCCTTGGAAGGCAGAGTTTTAACCCCTGAACTCTCAAGGAAATACTTCACACGTAGATTTTTAAAATACCACACTGTTTCTGAACAAACATCTGCAGTCCAACTGTAGAGGACCTCAGAACTTTGAGAAGTAAAGGATGTGGCAATTGCACTGCTTTTCTAGTTGTGTTTTGTGGACAATCGGCTTCCCTGGTGGCTCAAACGGTAAAGAATCTGCTGGCAACACAGGAGATCCAGGTTCGATCCCTGGGTCAGGAAGATCCCCAGGACCAGGATATGGCGACCCACTCTGGGATTCTTGCCTGGAGAATTCCATGAACAGAGGACCCTGGTGGGCTATACTCCACGGGGTCATAAAGAGTTGGATGCGATTGAGTGACTAACACTTTCACTTTTCACTTGTGGATAATGTGCAAAATATGGAAACAATGGGGGGGAAAATATGCATCTCAAAACAGCTCAAAGCTGAAATGTTGCCCAGCTTCACAGGGATGTGTTTATTATTCCTGATTTAATTCTCGTAGTATACTGTTTATCTGCTCTATACTTAAGTTGTTTTCTGGGCTGCTTTAAATCGTACCTTTGGATGTGATCCTGTGGTTTTTCAGCACATCTCGCGGCCTCTATATGTTGATCCTGTGATTCTTGCAACTAAAAAGAGGAAAAACAACTGTTGTAACTACTGATAAGCTAGCGAATTCGCCATCATCACTTTCTCTTTCGTCTGCATATTGCTTACAGCTGCTTTCCTGCCATATAGCAGAGTTGAGTTGTTACAATAGACACCTTACAGTCCACAAACTGAAAATATTTACTGTTTGCCCTTTGCAGGTTACTGACCTCTCCTCTAGCACTCAAATACATCATCATCCATGCTTTAAAATTCACTTTCTCAAATAAACACACAAACTTATAAACTGGACAAATGGGGAAAGACAGAAAATTACCTTATGGTAACATATATTTTATTTTATTCCAAGCACCACATCAGCCATCACTTTAAATACCCACATATGTGAATGACCACGGATCTTCCAGTGATTACGAGGGTTAACACTGCCGTTGGTGACAACCAGATGCTTCAGGGACTACTGCGAGAGGCAGGAGCCACACAGGAGTTAGAATGCATGGGCCTGTGTTCTAGTTCTGAGCTGTGAGTCCTGGGGCAAATTACTTAACCTTTCTGTATCTCAGTTTCTCCATCCAGAAAATGGAGATAATGGTAGCATCAACCTCAATGGGATGCTGGGAAGATTAAACTGGGGAATATACATAATGTATTTCGAAGAGGACGTGGCACTTAGTAAGAGCTGTTTGTAATTGGCGTTATTACGGTCGCTGTATTTTACCTGTAAAACAACTTGGTATTTCAGGCAGACAGCATGACAACAGAAGCGGTCTTCTACACAAGTCACAGTGAACTCACTCTCCATACCATTGCAAGGGGGCAGTAAGGGGGAGCATGAGGCCCAGAACACACGTGTCCAGTACTTGAAAAACATTCACTGACTCCACTAACCAACTAGTACTTCAGTACTTTTCTCCGCTTACAGTAATTTGTAACTTACTTCCTCTCTGTCCTACTCAGTGGACACTGACCACCGCTTACTATGCAAATAGCACCTCCCGAACAGAGTGGTACAGAACATTACATGACCGTCAGAGGAAGGGTGACGTCACTGCCGTGGAAATATTACCCGACTGCTAAATCAAAGTTCTGAATCAACTCATTCCCAGCAACTGTTAATGTCTAGCAAGTACTCGGATGAGAAAATTAAGGTTACCAGGTATGGATATCAGAGAAGCCATCCCCAGAACCTGAGGCTAGGAAGGTTAGAAATCCATAGAGGCCTGAAAGGCTAGATATCCATAAATCCCACTTCTGGCTGCATAATGAAGGAACACAAATTTACATTTTACTACCTGAGTCAGGGGGGAAAAATGAGCATTTAATTAAACAATTCTCCTCTATTAGACTAAGCACTTTCAATTTTACATTTAATTACTTTAAATACATTTTAACAAAAGTTTTACTATACCAGCATCTCCAAGAAGAAATTATTGGTATGGATGAAGTACTTAGTTGTATCTTAACAACTGTTAAGCTAAACTATTTTCCATTTATGCAAGACACGTGCTCTGCATATTAAGAAATATTCCCTGTTAGACTAATGTATACTTAGACAAGATTCCCCCTCATGAAAAAAATGGCAATGTAAAATGAAGGGCTATACTGTACTTCACAGACTACATGACAGGGCTGCAGAGAAAAGGCTCAGTGAGAACCGGACAGTCAGGAAAGCTCTGGAGGGGGAGAGACTGGGCACCAGGTCTGAATAAATGGAGGACTACCCGAGAGGAATAGAAACTGTAAAGACAGAAAGGACAGTCTGAGAAAAGGCAAGAAAAGGAGAAATCAGCCAGTGAACTCTGAGGATAAAATCCAACCACAGGGAAATAAAAACATGTCCATCCAGAAACGTGTAAGTCAGTGCTCACAGCAGGATTATTTGTAGCCGCAAAGTGGAAACAACCCAAATCTCCATCAACTTATGAATGGATAAATGGCTTAGCCACGTACTGTTTCTTGTTTGACAATCAACAGAAATGGAAGAACTGATAACGTGTCATAACAGGGATGAACAGCAAAAACATGACATCAAATGGCAAAAGTTAACCACAAAGGATCACACACTGTGTGATTCCATTTATGTGAAATACCCAGAACAGGCACGTCCACACAGACAGATATTAGATTGGGGGTTGCCTGGGGCTGAGGGAGAGAAGGGGGCCACAGGTGGTGTCTAAGGGATGCAGGGTTTCTGTTGGGGGGTGATGGAAATGCTCTAAAATTGACTGTGGTCACAGGTGACACCTCTCTAGACTAAGAGATACTGAACTACACACTTGGAACAGGTAAATTATATGATACGTCAATCATATCTCAAGAGCTTTTTAAAAAATCCCAAGGCACGATCTAGATAATGTTCTTAATTCTTCACTTTGCATGTACATACTATACTCCATCTGAGTACCTCCTTGCTTTTACAATATATCTAAGATGAATAGAATAGAAGGCAATGCCTATATTCAACTGGTTTGTATAATAACCTTTCTGCACAAGTTATTCTGAAATTCACGAAATAAATATATACAGAACTCTACAGCCATTCACCAAAGGGAAGATGAGAAATCATAATTTTCTGGAAACTTCCATTAAACATTATCCTCTGATTTTACCTGGCTTGCTTCATGACGGTAATACAGCTATCACTAAAAAAAATATTGTTCAACAGAGAAAAAAGTCTCTCAACTTGTGTGAACAATGATGCACATTTCTCCACTTTCCTAAGAGTAAATAACATAAGTAAATAATATGTAATGCAAATGGCAGAATGAAAGGCAGAGTTGAAGAAACGAGTGCATTCTAAAGATAATAAAACTGTAGTAAATTACTTGTAATGAGCATACAAAAGAAAGCTGTCTATGAAAATGAGTGTCCTAAAACACTTTATCCTATATATTAACTGTCGACACATTTACTTTCACATGTACCTGACTTGGGAGTCGACGGAACTTGCTCTTTAAATGCTGTATCTCATCTTCTAAGTTCGCACAGTTAGGTGCCATGCCTTCCAGTGCAGCCTCCGACATAGACCACGTTTTGAGGCCATCAGCCAGTTCTTGCCAAAGTTGTCTCGTATCTGCCTAATAAGATTCTCTGTCACTGAGTTTACCAAATCACCTACTATGACGCTGTGTTAATAACAGATAACTCCAACACGCGGACTTTGAAAACCATGACCACACCACAGCAACTCACCTTCTTTTGCCTCCTCACTGAATCTGGTTACAGACACAGAAGGGGCCACCCTCTGCCTTCCTGATACTAAGTTACTCAGACAAAAGATGCAGACCCACTGTCATGCCCTGCCCCTCCCAATAAATCTGCAGAGCTTCACCACCTCACAACCAGAAAGAAATGGATGTGAATGTGCAACAAGTGGTGAAAAATTCCACCCTGTGGAACATTTTCCCTCTTTATTAGAGGCTTTGACTAACTTCAGACATCTTCACATATTCCAACCAGTGCTCAGATCTTTCCAACAGATTCCTATCCCAGCAGAAAAATGAGGCCATTCCCTTGGGGCTCATCTATCTGGTACCTGGTCGTGTGTCTATGTTAATCCCAGACTCCTAGTCTCCCCCTGCTCCCCGCCTCTGCCCTTGCTGGACCACCAGGCCCCCTGTGGAGCACAGGGGCTCTGCTCAGCGCCCTGCAGTCACCTGCCTGGGAGAGGACCTCGGAGAGAACGGATACGTGTGCAACTGCACCACCGTGTTGGGCACCCGAAACTGACACAGAAGTATAAACCAACTACACTCCAACACAGAAGAAAAACACAATTTACAAATGAGGTTGCTCCCAAGACCCTCAGGGAGCCACAATAGCCTGGCCTCCACCTGCCTCTGGACCGCAGCCCCTGCAGCCCGCTCCCTGACTCCCTCCACCCCTGCTGCTCTAGATCCTGCCACCCTTCATTTTTAGTGGGCAATCTGGTATTCAAATGGCAGTAATTGATCCTTAAAATGAGAATTATGAGCAAACTGTTTATAAACATATTCTAAGTTAATAGCATAAATAGCAGTGGGAAGATTAAAACAAGAAGAGCTTGGTTAAAGCTCACCACTTGAGTCCCAAATTATGATTTAATGACAAGTATATTTCAATGACTTGCCAACGAATTCTCAATTAGTGACAATTCTTTAAAGAACTGAGAGGCCATAAGACTAAATGATTCAAGACTGAAATGTTTTCCAAGTTAATTCAAATTTACATGAATAAAATTAAAATTATACCAACAAGTATGACAAAAAGGTATGACAAGCTACTGAAACCAAGGTACTATATATAAGTGATAGCATCTGGGAAATATGGAATTGACTGTCAAGGTAATCCATGTAACTGAAGCTTAATTTCAGAATATTCATTTTAGGTATGAGCGTTTCTTTTATCTGCTTCATTATTATACCGACATGTGGTAATAGAAAGATTAAAATTATTATCTTCATAGTAAAAGATTAAATGACTAATACCTGTCTATATTAAAAATTTAGAACTTAAGCTCTTAACATTTCACAAGTGACACGATGTCTCCACTCAAAGTGAAGCATCTCCCGGGTTTAATTTTTATTTGCTGGATACAAGATGTGCTTTTAGGCTTGTTTAGAGATCATATATTTAAAGCCTGTGTATTTTTTCATTCAACTAGAGTCACCATTTCGCCAGAATCAAGAATCATTTTGAATTTTCTTTCAGGAAGTCTAAGAATTATTTCTCCTTCTGGATACTTACTTCTCCTGCTTCCTCATTTTCATACTGACACATTCTCTCTTCTAAATGATTCCATTTGTTGATTAACTCCTTGTTTCTTTCCTCCAGCATCAGATGTTGTTTCTCACTTTCAGCATGAAGATTTTTCACCATCTGCTGAAACTGGTCTTGGATGCTAATGACTGTCTTCTCTTTACTGTCAGCTTTGTTTTGTGCCTCATCCAGGTGCTGTCGGAGCAACATATTTTCACGCTGGAGTTGAGATAATCTCTCCTCTAAGGATTCCTGCTTTCCAAGGTATTCATTCACTTTGCCTTGTTCGTTCTGATCCATGTGTTCAATTTCCTGCTTTCGACACTCTGCTTGGCGTAGGTCTCTCTGGACACATTCTGACATCAAAGTCTTTCCTCTGAGATCATCTCTCGTCTGATGCGTCTTCATTTTTAGCTTATTGAATTGACTTTCCACTTTAGGAAGTTGCTGGGAAGCCGTCTCACTGTTACTTTTCAGCTTAGTCCCATGGCACTTCATTTGGTCCTGCAAGCATAACCGCTCATCGTGTGCTTTCTGGAAGGCAAGTTCCAGGTCTCTCTGTGATGTCTGACCTTGCTCATGATCGTGAATGGCAGCAGCCAGTCTAGAACGGTAGGATTCCACTTCTGTCTCCAGTCTGTGTCTGTTTTGTCTATTGTTCTCCAGCTCAGAGTTGAGCATTGTATTCTCAGCTCTCAGAACAGTAAGCTGACCAGTATACTGGAATATAGCCTGTGTGAATATTTCCTCTTTCGATTTCACTGCCTGGTGAAGATTTTCAATATCCTCAGAATATTTCTTCTCATTTTCCCGATTCTGATGTTTTACTGCATCCATTTCCAGTCTTAGGCTGGCAATTTCATCCTGTAGCATATGGTATTTGAGTAACAGATCTTTGGCTTTTCTACCACTATCAGAAACCTAAGTGAAACAAAGGAAACTTGTAGTTAGTACTCAATAAAATGACATTTCATTATTTCCTCCGAAATGAAACACTAACCTGTATGTCTATACAATGAGAAGACTACAACAAGTGGCTCTCCAACCAGAAAAATAAAGGTTTGATACTAACCTAAAACTTCATACAAGCAGAAATTTCCAAATCAAAAACTTAATTAAAGACAATGAATCCATGAAAGGAGAAAGAAATTCCAAGCGACTTTTCAAGAAGCTCAGAACTGAAAAGGCTTTTCTCTGAACCACAGCAAACCCAGAAGGTGTAAAATGAAAGATTTATAGATTTGAGTACACTTAAAACTTGCACCTGATGTGGAATATTTATACAATGGAAAACTATGAAGCCACAAAAAAGAATGAAATAATGCTATCTGCATCAACAGAGATGGACCTAGACATTATCACACTATGTGAGGTAAGTCAGACAAAGACAAATAGTATACCATACTGCTTATATGTGGAATCTAAAATGAATTTATTTACAAAACAGAAAGAGACTCACAAACATAGAAAACAAACTCATGGTCACCATGGAGGAAAGGAGGGTAGGGGAAGGGATAAATAAGGAGGTTGGGTTTAACATATACCATTATATACAGACAAGTGTATATAAAATAACCGACAGGATCTACTGTACAACATTACGGAGAAGGCAATGGCACCCCACTCTAGTACTCTTGCCTGGAAAATCCCATGGACGGAGGAGCCCGGTAGGCTGCAGCCCATGGGGTCGCAAAGAGTCGGACATGTCTGAGCGACTTTACCTTCACTTTTCACTTTTATGCATTGGAGGAGGAAATGGCAGCCCACTCCAGGGTTCTTGCCTGGAGAATCCAGGCAAGAATGGGGTCGCACAGAGTTGGACACGACTAAAGTGACTTAGCAGTAGCAGCACAACATTAGGAATTACACTTAACATTGTACAAGAAGAATCTGAAAAGGAATGTGTGTGTGTGTGTGAGTGTGAGTGATTCACTCAGCCATGTCCAACTCTTTGCAAACCCACAGACTGTAGCACGCCAGGCGCCTCTGTCCATGGAATTCCCCAAGCAGGAATACTGGAGAGGGCACCATTTTCTTCTCCAGGGGATCTTCCCAACCCAAGGATCCAACCCAGGTCTCCTGCTTTGCACGTGGATTCTTTACTGTCTGAGCCAGCAGGGAAGCCCCATTTACATAATATACACACACATATACATATAGGTCTCAATCACTGTGCTGTATACCTGAAACTGATGCAATACTGTAAATCAACTGTGATTCAATAAACACCACCATTCGCTGCCTTTAAAAACACTGCATCTCAAAAATCCTTAACAAAATTCTAGCAAACAGAATCCAACAACATATTAAAAAAATCATTCATCATGACCAAGTGGGCTTTATCCCAGGAATGCAAGGATTCTTTAATATCCGCAAGTCAATCAATGTAATACACCACATTAACAAATTGAAAGATAAAAACCATATGATTATCTCAATAGATGCAGAAAAAGCCTTTGACAAAATTCAACATCCATTTATGATTAAAACTCTCCAGAAAGCAGGAATAGAAGGAACATACCTCAACATAATAAAAGCTATATATGACAA